CTGTTACAAGAACCCAACCTTAAAATTAATACTAAGACCTCAAATTGAAAAAACCGCTATAAGAGAGCCCAAACTGAAACTGGATTGTAAAACAGAAATTAAAAAAGGACTTGAATGGACCAAAACATACCAGTTTTTCGCTGCTTCTCAATTCTAGAGCAACCTTCTTTGCAGAACAATTGATGCCCTTCTTAGAACGCAACATAGTTGTAATCAACTGGGTCAGCTGTTCAACTTGCTTCTTATTAGTTAGACTAATACCCGCTGCGAGGATGTTGATATCCACACAACCAGTATTTGGATCTACTGCAGATTGTTTCAATGCCTCTCGGTGTAAGCTAAAAGTGTTGAGACTAGGAGCAAGGCATAAATTCTTTCCAGAGCACCGAAGAGACTTAAATAACCTGTAAGCGTTTTCAACGTCCTGCACAGAGACAGCGTCAGAGAGCCTAATCTTGGCATGAGCCTCAGATAAACGAATCAATGATTCGAGTTGTCGTGGATATGCAGAAATCTAAAAATAAAATAATTGAAGAACTACCTGGTTAAAAGATCGCTATTTTAAATCTAAACCTGTCCGTGTCCAGCACCCTTCCGCATTTGGACGTAACGATCAATCAAGCATTGAGCAGATGCATCATTCAAGACTGGATGCACATTAGCTTTGGCATAGCCTATGTAATCCCGAAGCAAAGCCTTATCAAGAGCATCATCTCCTGTAAACAACTATCAGCGTCAATCAACCTCAAACATTGAAAGCTTGTTTTCTAAAAAGTATCACCTGCTGATGCTCCAGTTTTGCAGTACAGAGAGACCAAGTGGTTAGCAATCCTCCTGTCGTACATTTCGTCCTGGGCGTCCAACAAGAGGAATATTAAATCAAACCTGCAACATCATAAATAAAACAAACCACTTGCAGAAACTACAAAATTTAGCTAATTAAATACCGAGACAAAAGAGTATGAGGAAGCTGAATATTCTCCACAATAGTCTTTTTAAGGTTCCATTGAGAGTCAACTGGATTTGCCGCTGCTAATATTGAAGTCCGTGCATTTAATTGGCAAATAATCCCTGCTTTTGCAATAGAGAGGGTCTGCTGTTCCATAACCTAAATTTACTCCTGTTACTTCAAATTGCTAATACCAGCACAGCCAAGTAAAGACTGAAATTATTAATCCATAAACAAATATTAATATTCGCTGATAATACAACCTCAAAAACCGTGGCAATAAAGAATTATGCTGCAGCAGCTGAAAAAGCTTCATTGAAAACAAATTGGTTACCTCATGCAAAACTGATCTTGTGCTGTCATTCATCTTATCAAATTCATCGATACAGCAAATTCCATTATCAGCCAATACCAATGCTCCTACGACAGCAATAAGTTAATTAGGTACCCAGGAGCGAGTAGTTCAAGCAAACAATGAGACGCACGAAAAGAATTCAAATAAAAACGTACCAGTTTGTAAAACATGATGTCGAGTATCAGGATCACGAGCTATTGAAGCCGTAAGGCCTACTGCAGATGAGCTTTTTCCAGAAGTATACTGCGCTCGAGGAACAAGTCGATAAACATACTAAATGACAGAAACCATAAAAACTACAAAGTTACTAGACAACTTCAAGCTCCAGCTTTGTCACCTGTAATAATTGGCTCTTGCTGGTGCCCGGATCACCGCACAAAAGTATGTTTATCTCACTCCTCATCCGCTTCTTATTTTCCAATTCGTTTTCCCTTCTTGTCCCTCCAAAAAGCAGGCACAACAGTCCACGCTTCACATCTTCATGTCCATAAATGGAAGGAGCTAAATTCAGTCAGCTTTTATAAAACGACTTGGATTGAATGGGGGCATAAGTGCCAAAAACAACACTATATCAAGCAAGTAGTTAGGGCAAAATATTTGAGACATTCTATTGCCCAAAAGTTTCTCAAAACGCAATAAAACAGGGAGGCACCTAATATGCTTTCAACTATTTTCAAAGTCACCCTCAACAAGTTCTTTCTAGAGAAAGACTCATTTAATGACTTCTAAGCAGCAACAGAAGTTTCAATCATCACAGTATCAAAGATACCCAAAACTTCTCAATAAATTAAAATTTCTTAAAAAGCACTAAAGCCACAAAAAAATCATTGTTCATTAAGCACCCACTTTCGGTTGGCACAAAAACGGTAAGCACGATGGACAATGCTTGCCCAGTCGACCGAGCATTTCTTTAATGCAGGTAACCCCATACAAGTTGGAATCATAGACCTAGCGGTGCGGACTATTGATAAATCTTGATTAAAAAGACACAATTTCTCAACAAGCCCTACTGATTTCTAAAAACTCTTTTCTAAAACTTACCTACAGATTCACATTCATTATTTCTTACTCCTTTTGACAACCATTGAAAGCCTCATCTTCCTCTTTAACCCCAGCCCACAAAACCAGAAAAACAGCCTTTTTTACATTTTTTACTCAGCGAAACAAAATTACTTCAGAACCTTCAAAAACTGTTATCATCACTAAAAAACTAAAAAATCCAACCATCACCAGCTCACCCACTTCGCGCTGTTTCACTAATAATGCTCCTTCAGCTGCAAGTATCTCCGCTTAACTACCCAGTCCAACTCCAAATTAATTTAACTCATATCCTACCCAGAAGAACTTACTGTTTCATTAGTAACAAATTGCTCTTTACGATTATGAAACTTTAAAAGAACTTGGCCCAAGTTCTCTTCCATAAAATAAAGACGACATATTAGCTCACAAAAGTTGGCACGAGCTTCAGAAGCACTTTGAGTTACTGTTAACTGCTGGTAATATGGTATTCTACAAAGTTAATGGAAAGGTAACAGTAAAACTATCACATGCTTATCAGTACCAATAGCTGAGACGAGAAATTCCATTAAGTCCGGACGTTTCGACAAGTTTCTAATCTGTTCAACTCTTTCAGCCGTCAAGAATGAACTAAAAATTTTTAAGATGGATTTACATGCGGGATACTCTAAAGAAATAAAAGACAGTAAAGGCAAAATACCCATCGTATGACTGGTGCAAGCGGCTCTGGTCAGTTTTCCGGAAATGAAGCACGTCAATATTGGTTCGAAAAACAGAATTTACGTTGCGCATACGAGGATTAACACGAATTGGAATAGCGCGGTAGATCCCTGTTACTGAAACCCGATCACCAGGTTGGACGCTTTCAATCAAATTACCGTGGGCAAACAGCGTTATGGTGCAGGGAGTCTGACCAGCAGGCATTTCTTCTGCAAACTCATGATTTCAAAATCTGCCAGGTATTTTCCTCACCTGTTACACCAACAGCTAAAACTCAGTGAAATCCGTAAAGTCCAACAGAAAGATTTAGTAAGATTTTTATTCAAAAACACATGCGAACAACGAAACTCTAAGGCTAACCTGGTGACTCTTGAAGCTTTATAACCTGCTTGTCCATAAATTGGGAGCGATTGTGAATTAAATGGAAACAAAACTTCTGTTGACAGTTTGGGCAGAGAACTGGCTCTTCGATTCTGCCACGATCAACTTCATTTTCTATCTAAATTTTAAAGTATCATAAATAAAATTAAAAACCATAATAAAAGTAAAATTTCATGTTCATTCTATCACATTCGGCAGTATTTGGTCTGTAGAGGTTATACAGAATTGTACACAAGTCAGTTTAGTACGAGTAATGCCTTACGGTGTAATCACAAAATAAGCACTGGAAAAATCCTTGGCGCATTTCAGGGATCAAAGCTGACGTCCTCGTAATCATACCAACAATTGTTACCAACTGATCAACATCTTGTGGGTTCAACGCCTGCATACTACGAGTCTTTTCCGCATTAAACGGCCGTACCTCGATGGGGGACGACAAGGTTTTTTGATAGTGTTCAATAAAAAGCTCATTCACAGTCATGTCGAGATATGGGATAATGTCCTACAAGTTTTTATGCCAAACAGCAAAAAAAAAAGACAAGATTCATACGGTGTCTACATTGTCAAAACTAATATACCGAATATTACTAAAAAAAAAA